GCTACGGCACTCACTCTAGCCCGGTAACAAAGCGAGACTCTGTCTCAAAAAAAAAAAAATCTTTTTATATTCATCTTGTTTTTTATATTACTAGTTCTGTTTTTAATTTTGTTTCTTGCATATCATAGTTTTAGAAAAATTTTATTGTTACAAATGCAGTTCTCTTTCAAGAGGGTATTTTGGAGCAGAGAATCTCTTTTTTATATAGTTAAAACTGGTGTTTGGTTGATTAAACAAAAAAAACTTGTAAAGTGAAGAACAAAAAAATCAGTATGTCCATACCCTAAATATTTTACTTTAATTTAAAGCATACAGGGCCAGGCGTGGTGGCTCACGCCTTTAATCCTAGTACTCTTGGTGGCCGAAGCAGGAGCATCTCTTGAGCTCAGAAGTTCAAGACCAGCCTGAGCAAGAGCAAGACCCCATCTCTACTAAAAATAGAAAAATTAGCCGGGCATGGTGGTGCATCCCTGTAGTCCCAGATACTCAGGAGGCTGAGGCAGGAGGATCACTTGAGCCCAGGAGTTCAAGGTTGCTGTGAGCTATGATGCACTGCACTCTGCCTGGGGTGACAAAGTGAGACTCTGTCTCAAAAAAAAAAAAAAAAAAATTAAAGCTTACAGATATACATTGATTCACCACGGGGGGTTAGATTTAGAGCAGAGATGTTTTCTGTGAGTGTTGATATGGGTTTCTTAATACAGGTTTCATTTTGTCTTTTCATACATTAAACCACATCCACATAAGTATATGTGTAGATTTTTATCTGTAGATGAAAGCTATACTTTCAGGTATAGCTGGAAGCAGTTTACATAATACTTAATTTTTATAAACAAGTTTGGGAACAAATAGTGACTCTTAAAAAGGAGAATAAGGTAGGCATTTTAGAAAGCCTAAAGCCACTAATGTTCATTTCCATAAACATCAGTCAGTATTTTCTAGTAAGAGAATGGAGAGAAGTTGGTTAATTCAACAAGGTGATATGATAGCAATCAGTTAAAAGACCTTCTGTTATAATATATTTGAACAAACAATGGTAGACATTAATATTGGTGAAAAAATTCTTATTAATAGAATATTCCTATTCCTAATATCTTATTCATAAATATTGTATGGAATTTGAGATGTTTAAGGGAATAGTGAAAGAAGTTATCCATCTACAGTGTCTGCTGAAATAATTCATAATATGTATTGAGCAAAACAAGGGTGAGGGTGAAAGTTACTGAAACTCCTTGAGAGAAGATAATATGAGTCGTATGTATACTCCTGTGTATATAGCATACTGAAAGCAAACAGTGAGCTATGAGCTGTATATACTTATTAGAAGTTATGGATTAGAAATATTTTATTCTTAAGTTCTATTGGAGAAAATGATGTTACCCTAAAACTTTTTCTTCATTTGTTACTTTTTGTTAGGAAAATTTTAACATGTAGAGAAGCAGAGAGAAGAGCAAACCCCTTCAGTATCCCCTGCACAGCCACTATGTTGTATATATGTGCCATAATTTATTCAGCCAGAGCATTTGATTTGTGTACAATCATTTTCTGTTACAGATAAAGCCACAATGAATAACCTTATGCATGTCATTTTGTACTCACACATGTATATCTTTAGGATAAACTAGAAGTGAGTTTGCTGGGTTCTTAGTCTTGTTTTCCATTTAAATTTGAAGCCATCAAAAATCAGCCGTTTAAAATTACTCTCAGCAACTGTGCATTTGAAATAAAGGCCAGGTGTACTTGTTCTTCGCAGAGAGTCAACATGGTATATTTAATAAAACCTGTATTTTGAAGATACATTACATGTGATCCTACACGTAGTGGTTATCACTGGTCTTTTTTTTGTTTGACTTTTTTTTTTTTAGATAGGGTCTCCCTTTGTTGCCCAGGCTGGAATGCAATGGCATGATCGTAGTTCACTGTAACCTCAAACTCCTGGCCCAAAGTGATCTTCCCGCCTCGGCCTCCCAAGGTGCTGGGATTACAGGCTGAATCACCATGCCTGGCCGAATACATGTAATATTTCTATCCTTTTTTTTGTTTAAAATCTCAACATTCTAATCAGACATGTAGATAATTTTCAATTTTTGTTTTATAAATAATGTTAGCATTTATATAAATCTTTGATGGCACTTTTTTTCCTTATGGATTGTAACAGAGTAAAATGTTTGAAAATTTTCAGGCTAAATTTCTTTCCAGAAAATGTTCAAGTTTACATCTCTTGCTTCTAGTTCATTTTGTACCATCTCCATGTTAAGGCAGTTGGATTTCTCTTCTAAGCCTCCATTAATTTTGCCTCAGAAAAGATTTCTCTTGTTTTGAAAGTAGAGAGATTAAAGGCTCCATTGAAGGAGTAAGTGAACTCCAGTTGTGCTAAAGGACTCTTCTCCATTACCCCATTCCTAAATCATGATGCCTCACTTGTGCTCGGGAAAAGCTTGAAGACAGAAATAATGTAATGGAATGGAAAGAGGAGAGACAGCCTAGGGATGAGTGCCCCGTTTTACTACCAGCTGTATGTATGACTATGGCAGTCTTTACATCTGTAAAACGATGTCATTGAACTAGATAATCTTATAGTTCTCTCCCACTTTCAAAAAATGTTCGTGAATCACCTTGTAGAAGCCCTCTGTGATCACCTCAGTCGAATTAAATTCTCCCTCTACTTATCTCCAGTGGTAACTTATTGTCCACATGCCTTGTGGTGGTGAGAGGAAATTTCCCCTGTACCCTGGAAGGTTTGCTGAAAGATTAGCTTATAATTAAGGCAGATTAATAAGAGTTTTATTTACCATGTGCACAGGGAGAATCACAGAGTGATTACCCTATCACTGGTCTTTTCCTTATTCTATCACAGCTCCCATCTTACCAATGCTGTACCTTTCTTGATGGTATCCAGGTGTCTCTGTGTATTATTAGTGTGTCTTTACATACTAAACACTTTATATCACTTGTTACTAATACAGGTGTTTTGGATGTAGCATCTCAAAATTAATATTCCTCCACAAGTTTTAGCTTATTTGAGTAGGCTTATTTGACAAGAGTCAGTATCTTCAATATAATGCTATGCCTGGTTTATTTTTTTGTCGTTTTAAATCTATGTTTTGGATTTCTATTAATATGCTAATCCCTTGTTTTCTCTTATTCATTTTTAAAGCTTCTCATGTCCCCATATTTTATCTGATTCCTTAAGAATGTGGCCATGAGGAAGTCCAACTCACATTTAGATTCAGAAATACAGATATTTTCACTATATTTTCATAAACCTTTTGCAACCATCAGCTGTAACTTTATTGGAACATTTTCCCTCATATTGTTACATTTATATTCCTCCTCCCTTAGATGTCAGTGTAGTCATGGCATTTATACTTAAGGATCTTTTACATGTAAATAATGTACTGTATGTTTTCATTAGCCCAAATTTCTATCTGTTTAGTACAGGTTCACATCCCTTATCTGAAATCTGGGGCCAGATGTGTGCTGGAAGTCAGTTTTAAACAAAATTTTTTTAGGAATGTATATGAAGTATTATGTAACTCCTGTTGGTTTGTGTCAGCATTTGGTAATCAAACACATTAATATCTTTTGAATGAACTGTATGAAATATAGCACACTAAATGGGAAAGGCTATAAAATGCTTCCATTATTCATGTTAGGTTTTGCCCTCACATGAGTTACTAAAAGCCTGAGGTTGTTTGGAGTTTTTTAGATTTTAAAATTATGTAAGTTAACAATGATAATGGTTATAAGACTGATAATTTATATAGCCATGTTAAATTACGTGTAACTTTTCTTAGTCATTATCTACAAAGTTGTAAAAGTTTTGACTTGGCTATTCCTCTTGTTATTGATAATTTACTTATAATTTCTAACTCCAGAATCGACTACTGAGTGGCAGAGTAACACTGGTCTCTTTGTCTTGTCATATTTTCTAAAATGGAATTGTTAATTGTGACATACTCAAGGAGATAGCAAAGAGAATTAAGGAAATACTTGTAAATCTTCAGTAAAGAAATACAACATCTTAAAGTGTTATTCATTAGAGGTTCAGAATTTTTAACAGATAATATAATAATATTTTTTCCCTCCAATGCAGGTGTTCTTTATACATTTTCCTACAGGGCTCCTCTGTGGAGAAATCCGAAAAGCATATGTAGAATTTGTCAATGTCAGCAAATGTCCTCTTACTGGATTGAAGGTTGTTTCTAAACGTCCAGAGTTCTTTACTTTTGGTGGTAATACTGCTGTTCTAACACCACTAAGTCCCTCAGCTTCTGAGAACTGTAGTGCTTACAAGACTGTTGTGACAGATTCTACCTCTGTGTGTACAGCACTCACATCATCAGCTTCTTCTGTAGACTTTGGCATTGGCATAGGAAGTCAACCAGAGGTGATTCCTGTTCCCCTTCCTGACACTGTTCTTCTGCCTGGAGCTTCAGTGCAGCTACCAATGTGGCTACGGGGGCCAGACGAAGAAGGTGTCCATGAAATTAACTTTTTGTTTTACTATGAAAGTGTCAAAAAGCAGCCTAAAATACGGTGGGTATTTTGATTTAACCTCTGTTTAATATATGTGTACATATAGATAAACATTTTGACATTTGCTAGCATATATCGTTATTAAGAAATTACCCCCTTCCAGATTATGCATGATGTTTATATCTGAGGTTGTCCCAAATAGAACTTTTAAGTTCTAGGTAGCCAAAAGTGGAAAAAATTTAACTACACATTTTTTTAGTTGCTTCTATATATAAACTTCATGATTCTTTGGTACAGCTAAGTACTATGGCCAAAGTTATGACAAATTGAAATTAACAGGTACCACTTATTAAAACAGGGTATCATTTGTACATGAAGACAACCTGCTTACAATCATCCCAGTCATCCTTTTTTAAGAAAATTTTTTTGTTTTACCTGCTCTTTTTCCTGGCATCTCTCCCTGCCCCCAAGAATGTATGCAAAAAAATTATGTATTCGCAGAATAGATGATTAGGTTGGTGTTATAATAGGTGAACACTGAAGAAATCAAACCTAACTGGCTCATACCAGGATCTGTGACCTATATATTGCACAGCAGAATATTTTATTTGTAGTAGCCCCATTGTCATTTTTCCAAAATTAACTAGGAATAATTGTGCTACATTTATTTTACTTAATGGAATATTTAAAATATCTTGTAAAATTGTGAGGACAAAACGAGATATTTGTTAGTATGGGTACCTTTTAGGTCTTCAGTAAATGTTAATTCTCCTTAAAAAGATGATAGAGGGAATCCAAGGCAATCAGGGAAGGCTTTGTGGGATGTAGTAGTGGTGAAATGAGTTTCCAAGAGAGTAAAGATTTCAGGATTTGGAGCTAATATCTGCCTCTTGGGCTCATTAGAATTCCAAAGGGAGGCTGGGCACAGTGGCTCATGCCTGTAATCCTGGCACTTGGGGAGGCCGAGGCTTGAGGCCAGTAGTTTCAGACTAGCCTGAACAAGAGCAAGATCCTGTCTCTATAAAAAATAGGTAAATTAGCCAGGCTTGGTGGCACATACCTGCTTGTAGTCCCAGCTACTTGGGAGGCTGAGGCAGGAAGATCCTTTGAGCCCAGGAGTTTGAGGTTGCAATGAGCTATGATGATGCCACTGCACCACTCTAGCCCAGGAGACAGAGCAAGACCCTGTCTCAAAAAAAAAAGTAAAGGCAAAGAAATCTTTGAAGTATAAAGCTATATGGTGAAGAGCTTTGAATGCCAGGTTAAAGTTTCAATTTTTTTTTTTCTAGGCCTGTTTTGGAATAAAGTTTGAATTTTATTTGATAGTCATTCAGGAACTTCAGAACCACTATCGGAAGAGAGGCATAATTGAAACTTCACTATATGA